CGGCCCGCCCTCCCCCGCCCGCACCCCTCCCCCTCCTTAAGGCCGGGACCGACGAGGGGACAGAAAGGACCTGGGAAGGGTGGGTTTCGGGGTGTAGGCAGATAGAAAGGCAACTTCATAAACAACTTGTTGGAGAAATGCAGGATTATGGTGCGTCCGCGCCCGGCGCAGGGTCAGGGGGCCTGAGTTCTTTTGCACGCACCCCCACGCCTAAGAAACTCTTTTATTCTCTCTCTCTCAATCTCTCAATCTCTCTCTCTCTCTCAACTGTTAAGAAGGATGAACGGCTGTTGTCACTGCCTGTGTGTATATGTGTGTCTATGTAGTGCAGAAGGAGTGACACGAGGAGGTCGCTGATGAGAAATAGACCTAGAGTTGGTTACTTTCGGAGGCGCAGTTTATTTTTCACAAATAGCAAACCCGGGATGTCCGCTGCACTTAGCTAGCACTGCCGATTTGTATGCCTCATGCCGGCCGGCTATACTGCGTGTCCTTTCTGAGGGATCCGCACCCATGCCCTTCCCTGTCCGGACTTTCGACAACACCCGGGAGCTGTCCTGGCGCCACCGAACCAGGCCCTGAGAGCGCGGAAGAGCCCCAGCGCCGGCCGCTAGTTCCTTCCCTGGCTGCTGTAGCCCGGGCTGTCCGGGCATCTTAGAGTTATCCCAGGAGGGCCCCTGCGTTCGGCTCATAAGGACGTGGATGAGCGCTAGGCCCCTGCTTTCGGGTTCAAGGCAACCTCCGCTTAGATATCCCTGCAAAGTAAAATCAAACAAATAAAAGCACTGCACCCTAAGTGTTTGCCCTGGCCAGCTGACGAGTAGCTTTATAACTGAATTCCCTGAGATGACTCCCGACTCCCCGGGAGCCTCTTGCTCTAGCCCTGCGCGTACCTCCCTAGCTTTGGAGGACTAAGGCGCCTCCAGCCGCTCCCACGCTCCTGTCTGCTGGGCTCTTTTGCGCTGTTTCCTGGTCGAGGCACCCCCAGATTTTACCCATAACCAGATGTGCGGGGGATGGAGTAAGGTGCTAGGCACGGGCTGGGCTTGTCAGCGGATCCGTTTGGAAGGGCCAGGGTCCGACACTCTGCTGAAGCCTGCGGTGCCCGAAAAAGGCTCCAGAAAATGAGGCCTTCGCGGAGATGTCATCTTGGAGCTCCAGAGGACCTGCATACCTTGGCCATCACCCGCAACTAACTGGGACAGCAGAGAAAGGATCTCTTTGGGGATTTTGTCTATTTGGGACTTGTGAAATAATCCCCTGCTCCCAGTTTTCCAGAAAAGTCACAGGGAGTTAGGTTAGGAGGAACATGCAACTAAAAGCACAAGCCGAGCCACCGCAGTAGGCGAAGTTTCTCAGAGGGGTTGATGGAGGGCAGGAATTCTTATCGCTCGCTGCATCGAGGGTCCCCCGAGTTCCAGGGCTGAGTTTTCGGCTAGTCCTGAGTGGTGGCCTAGGGGAGAAAACTTCTCTCCGGAGCGCTGCTCTGGGCAGGCCTGCCACCGTCTCTTCAACCTTCCAAGCCGTCCCAACCCCACCTTTGAGTCTCCCACGTCCTCTTCAGTCTCACGCCCAAGGGCTCCCCGAAATCTCCAGGTGCCCCCACTTCTCCCGTAAATGGGGGTGGGATTTTATTTATATTTAAGTTCGCAAAATTGAAATCTTTATCCCGCAAGCGAGCGTGGGTACTTAATTAAATTCTAATTAGGACACTATCAATATCCTATTTAGCCGCGTAGCTTTTGTGCGCGGCGGTCCCTTTCAGCGCCGTAAATAGGGTCTCGACGCCTTATCTCGCCTGCAGGAGACGCCTCGAGAAGGGCTGCGGAAGATAATTTATAGGTTTTAATTACTCTTCATTCCGCCTGATCAGCTTGGCGTTCATCACAGGCCTGTGAATAAAACCCTGGTCAAAAGCTCTGTCACATCGCGCTGGCAAGACGCTTAATCAAAGTGAGCGGCCCTGCGCGCTGCGCGGCCCGGCTCCTCCACGTAATTTCCAGCTAGCTGATAAAGCCAGCTGAATAATGCGGCGGCCCTTTGGAGACACCATTTACAGAAATGACTTTATTGACGGCTTAACGTCGGTAATTCATTTTACCTTTCATGTAGTGGAGCCCGGATTTGTTACAGTAATGGGATGATAAATGCACCCGCGGCCCAAGAGCTCGGGCTGGATTAGGCGGCGTTCCCCACGCCGGCTCGTCCCCCCACCTCCCCTCAGGCCCGGCCTGGGCTGGACGCTCTGTACCCTGCGCCGCCCTGCTCTCCTTGACCCCCATCCAGGGCCTACACCCTCCCTCCTTCCTGAAAATGAACGTGCTATTGGGAACTCCGTGTAAACGCGTTGGCGTTCTGGCAAGCCAGAGAGAGAGAGAGGTGTGTGAGGGCCGAGTGAGCAAATGTTGGCAGAGGTGGGTGTATGAGGGGTCCAGAGGACCCCAAGTGAGCTCAGGGCTGGGCATGTGGGTGATCAACTACGGGAAGGGTGAGTGGTGCGTACAAGTATATGGGTAAAGGGGTTGGGTGTGTGTGGAGGGATGTGTGTGCACATGTGTGTACATTTGTGTGACTGTCCCTTTCCAGCATGCTCATTTGTGTTTTGGGGAATTAAGGAATTTCTTCCAACTTGATAGATGCCCAGGCCAGAATGGCAGGGAGGTGGACCTGCAGGAAGCAGGTGGAGAAACCTGCCCCAAATGAAATGGAGCTCCTTTCTCCAAATGCCACCTGCTCCTGGGCCAAAGGTATAAAAGCAAGGGGGTGCCCAGTGCCTATTTCCATCGCCTTGCTGACCGGTGAGCTGTACGGTCACTTGGGTGAGAGGCCCCACAAACTGGGCCATGTCTCTGCAGTAAGTTGATTGCCCCCAAGTCCCCTTTCCATACCCAGTCCAGATAAAAGGATGAGAAAAATTTTGTTTTCTTTCAAATGCTGAACCCCAATTTTTCCTCTTCCCATGTGAAGGAAAAAGAAGGCCCAAAAAAGCCTTCAGTGGTGGGCAGTAGGATAAACAGAACAGGAGGAGACCCCAAACTTCTACTCCTCTCCCATCCCTAGACTTCCTCCATTCTCTGAGGCTAATCAGGGGCTTACACTGAGCAAAAGGTACCTGGCCAAACAGAGTGGAATGGCGCACATGTGCTAGGGGGCGGGGGGGCTGCTGGAGAAGTTTGGGGATCATGCAGCAGGAAGATTGATCAGTGTTTCTCAGGGTGAAGGCTGAGAAATTGTACCTTTGTTTCTCCCCTTTCCCAATCTTGCAAAAACCTTAGTGGTCTTAGAGAGTGGCCCATGGCTGGGGGGCCAGGGCTTGTATTTGTGTCTATTTGCTTGTAGCCAACCACAGAGAAAGCAAGTTTATAAGAGCATTGTATGTCTGTGTATATTTGTGTGCATGGCAGGAGGCCCCTGTGTGGGCATATTAGTGTGTATGCCCGAGTCAGCCCCACCAGTCCGGCATGGAGAAATATGTTTGCTGAGGATTTTGCTGTGTGCTGTTCAGAAAACAGAAATCTCCCACCAGCCTGAGTTTCCACAGAATTTTGGATTTCGTTTAGGCGGAGACAAATGTTGGGGTCCTGCGTGTTTCCGCCTCTCTTTTGAGGGTGGGGTAAGGAGGAGAATTGTGGAAGAAAACCTTCCAGCTTGGCTAGGCGTGTGCGCGATGGGCCGGGAGTACAGAGTGTTGCATGCACACGGTGGTAATCGCATTTCGAGTGTAGATCAGATGGCGGTGGGGCCTCGTGGTGCGGGACATGAATGAGTTGTCGCAACACAATAGCGCGCAGCCTTCCTACAGGGACTGGGTGACCAGCGGTTTTGTTGGGAGTGAATGCGAGGAGATTTCTGCTACAAGTGCCGCGGTATTATTATGAGCTGGAAGGTCAGACTATACATCGTAGGTCCCCAAAGCCTATAGACCTTGGGAAATGTGGGGCCTCGAGCCACGTCATTGTACCTGACAGTCCTTTCAATAGACTAATTCAATTAGCGCTCGGGGATTTCGGTCTTCATTTGGAGGCGATAATAATGTGTGGGTGGGTGGGTGCTGGGGGATTCGTTGGGTATTGGCGAGGTATCCTAAGCAATTCTTCCCGAAGCTTGGAGTGGGACTGGGGGAGGCCGGCAAAGGAAAAAAGCCTGTGGGTGGGGGTGCGTGGGAAGCAAACCATGGAAAATAAAATGCTCTGTTGACTCCCGAAATTGGGGCGGCAGCGTTGTTTGTAGACAACCCGGCAGACTCCTGGGTCGGGGGATGAAGGGAGTATTTCTTTTTTTTCTCTGTATATGAAATACAAACATAAATGTCTGGTTCCTAGAAAGCTCGAGAAAAAGCCTGCGGTCGCAGGTTGTCACCTTTGGGAATTTCAATATTTGGATTTATGCCCCACCATTCTGTCTTCCCCCAGAGTTTTCTCTCTTTTATACGACGGACCAGTTTACAGCAGGGATCTTTTTGTTCTAGAAACAATTTCTCTCTCTCCCTTCTCCCACCCCTGACAAATGAGACCTTTCTCCTCTTGGCTTTGGGAAATGAGAGAAAGATTTCGATGATTTCCGTAAATTGCCCCCGTCGCCAGGGTTCGGAAAGGTCTCGCGGGACCCAGCTCCTCACCGAGCCCCACGGACTGCCAGCTCTGCCCGCGCCGGCGCCCAGGACGCCGGGGTGCAAACACCCGGCCGGTCGCAGCTCACGGGTGTACGGGCGGCGTTCGGGCGGCGTGAGGCTGTCGGAGAGCGAGACGCAGGGCCCTTTGGCTGGGATGACGGAAAGGGGAGTATTCAGCAGCCCCTCCGTAACCGCAGACTGCACTGGGGCTCTACCGCACAGCCAGCCAGGCCACTGGAGCTGAGGATTGTAGAGCTCGCGACCCCCGAAAGCAAGGTGACAACCCACACTTCTCTGTATATTTTTCTTCACTTTAATCAGACATACCGGTTTTGTCCTCACACTGAATCCCACCCAAACCCCGGAACCCAAACCCTAATTTGGGTTGAACCTCTTTCCCTCTCCCCAGAAAAAAAGTCCAGAGTTAATTCAGCGTCTACAATCGAATTTTCTTCTCTTTATTTTGTGTTTCTCCCTTTCTCAACCCCCCCCTCCTCCCCAGAAGGTCCCCCGAGGCTGGCGCCCCTAGGCCGAGGATGCCCCTCGCCCACCCCAGTCCCCACCTGTCCGAGTGGCGGCTCCGGCCTCGATGCGGCTTGGCACGGTTCGGGGTCCACACAGACTGGCCTTGAACGTGTACGCGCCGGTGGGTGACAATGTGGAAGCCAGTGAGGAGGGGCCAGCGCCAGGAGGGGCTTCCGGGTTCTGCTGTCCCCTGACCTCGGCTCGGTCCGTGCATCCCGGGAGCTCCAGACCCAACTCCGAAGTTGGAGACAAAAAATAATCAACGCAAGGAAAAAAAATAATAATAATCAAAGCAAGAAACTCCTCTGTGGCTCCAAAACCGTGCTCTTCTTGCTTGCCCCAAAATTAACTGTCTTCCTTCTCTTTCCCTTGACTCCTATGGGGGTGAGGGTTGTCCCGGCTCCCTCTCCCACTGACCCTGGATAAGGAGACAGAGTCCGTGCACCCAGCTCTCGGCGCCCGGGAGCGCTCTGCAGGCCGCCCCTCCCTTTTGCCCTTGGGGGCTGCATCGTTCGGACCCTCTTCCCGGGAGGGTTCAGGAAAAGCTTCAGGTTCCAGCCGAGGTCGGGCGCTGCGGAGGGCTGGCCGGGAGACTTGGGAGGGAAAAGTTTAGTCCGGAAGGCTTTCCGGGCTGGGAAGGCAAAGCCTTACGCGCCTGAGAGTGGAGGAGGAAAGAGAGGCGAAAACCCGCACACGTTCCCCCCGCCCGCCCCACCTCCTTCCTTACACTGGATCGGACTGGGGGGGCGGGGGAGGAAGGGGGTCACTGGAATGCAGAGGCCTTCCCGGGATGCCTTCCCTGTCCGCCTGCTCCTGCAGAGAGCGGGGTGGGGGACCCCGCGCGTGCGTGTTTGTACATGACTGTGCGTTCCGGGTGAGTGGTCGTGTGAGTGTGTGCACGGAAAAACTGTGTGCGTTTGGTGTCTCTCTAATCCTCGTGTGTTTGCACTGTGTCCGTGTGTGGAAGTGCGTGTGCACATGGGCTTTGCACGGATGCCTGTGCGTGTCTGTGTATATACCGTGCTCGTGTGTGCGAGATGGGACCTCAGACCGAGGCCTTGGAAATGAGGTGTGTCAAGTTGAAAGGACACTAGGGTTCTGACCCCAAACCAAACCTCTCACCTCCTATCCCTGTTTCTCCCTCCCAAGCCACCATCACCACCCCACCCCCACCGCCAATGAACTGTGCAAGGGCACAGGAGATAGTTGTTTAAACCCGGATTCAAACAGCCAGTTTTTGTTTCTTACCAAGACCCATATCAGCAACCTGAAATTTAGGAGAAGATGGGCAGCACGTGCCAAGGTCAAGATCAAAAGGACCTCTGGGCCCCCGTCGGCCCACGCTTGAGCCCCAGACCTCCGCTCCACAGAGGATGCAACTGAGACCCGGAGAGGGGATGTAACTAGGCCAGGGCCCCATAGAGGCCACCACTGGTTTCAGGGCTCTCCAAACCGGGCTCTGGAGCCATACGTGTTCGAGTTTTGTCCTGCGGCCTAAACGAGAGCGCAGGGGATGGTGGTCTCCTTCCCCCGGTTGCCAATTGCACTCCATTCACCCCCAAGTAAGGTTCACCCTCTTTCCTGCGGCAGAGGGGCTAGGGGAGGAGGAACGGAGTCGATCTCTAGAGGCTGGCAAGGGTAGGGAGGGGGGCGGGCGAGGGAGAGACACAATCCCTCCTCTTGTTGGGTCCCGCGAGGGTCTCTTACGGTTCTTGCCTCTCCCCCACCCCCAGGGGTGGCAGCTTCCTCTTCGCTCCCGGTAGAACTTTTTAGGCGTTAATGGTACGGTTAGGGGTGAGGGTGGGGATCGGTGAGGGGGAGACTGACCTCCCTTCCTGCGGGGGTGGGGTGAGGGTGGAATACCGTCCCCAAAGCCATTCCAGGCACGTCCCTCCCATCCCGTGCCAAGGACTCCCGCCCCAAAATTGTTATGCAAAGGAGTCAAGTATGTGATCTTTTTTTTTTTTTGGCGATCAAAGCGGCAAAGCCAAACATTAGAGAAGAAGTCAATAATGGATGAGCAGATCAAGAAACCCATCTCGCTGACAATTATTGCCGCAATCGAAAAAGCTCCCTCTTTCCCTTCTCCCCTCCCCACCCCCACCCCCCGCGCTCCCCATACAGAAAAAAAAGGAGGCGGAAGGATGGGGGCTGGGGCTGACAGCGAGTTAGGCAGCCGGGGCAGTGCGTGAAAGAGCTGATGCGAGGACAAGTTTGTTGAGGGGAGATAACGCCCCCTAGGGGTGACCCCAATGGGTGCCGGTGTTTTCTCTCGCCAAGTGGGCCGAGCCGTGGCCTCTGCGCCCGACACTCACTGGCCGCTAAAAAGATGGAGCGTGTGGCCGTTCCAAACCGGAGGGCTACAATCAGAGTTTCTAGAGTCTAGGGCCCGAGCTCCCCCGCCGCACCCCTTCCCGACCCTTTTCTTTCGAAAGAGGGACCCTCGGCAGGCGCGTAGGGCAGGGAGCAGGGTGGGAGCGGCGCGGACAGATTTCTGGCCGGTTTTGTCTGTGAGGAAAGCGCCACCTGTCGGCGCCATTGGAGAACTGCACCGGCGTGGTGGCGGGGTAGGCGAGGCTGGGAGGAGAGGTTTGTGTTGGAAGCCCCGGGCGGGGGGTGGCACACATCCGGCCTCTTTCCTGACTGTTGAAGCCTGAAGGGAGAGGCACAATGGGATTCCCGGAAGGAGATCCTTGTTGGGATCCCCTCACCTCAAGTGAGCCAAAGCTGGAGAGATAAGCCCCTCAGGGGCTGTTTGCTCCGCGATTCGGAAAGCAGAAAATACCTGAGACACAGTGGGTGGGCGCCGCGTGGGGAGTCAGGGGCCGCGTTCCCTGCTCTTCTGCCTGCTCCGTGCTGTGTGACCTTGGGCCGGACCCTGGTCCTCTCTGGGGTTCAGTTCCCTTGTTCATAAACTGAGGGAGTTGGGTTAGATTGATCCCCTCCCAACTCTGACCTTGAATCTAACATGGAATCTGAACAGCTTATGTAGACAGACACCTGTGTCTTTTCTATTTCTAGCCCTTAAAAGATCCTGGACATTTTTATATGCCATTCACACCCTAATCTCTCACACATATTTAACGTATAGCTGCCTCAATTATGTTACTGGTTCCTCAGTTGTCTGAAGATTTCATTTGAGTTGAGATGCTAGGATGTTTATCGGTCCGAATTATCCTAAATGACCATTAACTTAAACCTCTTTTATTTATTTGTTTAATCAGACAAACAGGAAAAGTTCGTTCACTTTGCAGTGTGGACATTGCTGTGGAGAGGACCCGAGTCGTGGAGCCAGTGAGGACACAATGAATGCTCATGTGAGAGGCTTAGACGAGAAGTCCCAGGCCCCGGGCGGCGGCAGTGCCAGAGAGAGGACACGGACGAAGGGCCAAGGCTGAACGGGACGAGAGGGGAGACTGAGGCCAAGGACAAGCCTGAGCTCCGGAGGGAGGGGGAGTGTGTGGTGGTCCCTGACCCGAGGCTACCTTCCAGACAAGAGTCCAAAGAGCAGAAAAGGCAGGTGTCAAGACCCGTGTAGGATGACTCAGAACTCAAGCCATTTCCCCTTGGCCTTCCCGTGAAATTAATAAAGCACGGAAACCGGGGACAACATATTGCAATATTTTGAGTCACCCAGAGGTCTTGTATAACCTCCGCTTCCAGTCCGGGTTTGTGCAGCTCGAGAGGCTCCGGTTCCGCAAGGTCTGGGGCTCAAGCGTGGGCCGACGGGGGCCCAGGCTGGGCGCGCCCCTCCGGGAGTCCCGGAGCGGTCTCCGGGTCCTCGTCCTCAGCGCCCGGTTGGCGACGCGCGGCCGGATCGGCTGCCTCCTCCAGCAGCTGGGCGGAGGCCTCCCACACCCTCCCCTGAGAATCCAAACTCCGCTTGGAACCTTCCGAGGGGCTGCCACATCGAACCCGGGACCCTTAGCTTTGGGGATGGAGGGGACGTTTCTGGTCTTTCCGTCTGCAAGTCCGGGAATCGTTCTGGGGCCGCATGCTCCGAAGCGGTGCATATCGGCGGCGTCCTGAGAACCGACGAACACGTGGGATTGTGGGCTGGGGGTCGTGTCCCTAGTTAGAGACGGGAAAATCGAGGGACCGCAGGCCCGGTCACTTGTCCTCGTGAGCGGCCGCCTGAGCACCAGCCACACCTGAGGGGTCAGTTGGGGCTTTGTCCTGACGTCCGGACCGTTCGTGCGTCTCGGGACTTTTCGCCCCCGCCCGCGAGCCCGGGTCCCACTTGCGGCCGGCAGGGCTTGGCGGCGTCCTTTCTCTACGCCCCACTTGTGGCACTCCACTTGTGACACCGACACTTTCCAACCCCTCAGACCCCACCCCTTGGAATTCCGGACTTTGCGCCCTCGGCCCCAGACTCCGGACGCGCGCCCCTGCTCCCGGCCTCCCGGCCCGGGGGTCGCCTGGCAGCCGGCGGAGCCACCCCGGCCTCGGAAACCGGGCACTCGAGGCCTCGGCCTAGCACTGCCGGCGCGTCGGGGCCCGCGGCGAGCCCGGGCGGGAGCTGTGGGCAAACCGGGGTGGCCCCGCCGGACGGAGGAGCAGCCGGGACTCTGAGTCCATCCCGCCGCCCGCCCCGACTTCTCCCGGGCAGGCCGCGGAACCCGGATCTGGGGAACCGAAATAAAGACGCCAGAGGCGAGTGCGCTGCAGAGGGACACCGGGACCTCCCGAAGCCGGCCGCGAAGCCGAGGGCGCTGGGGCGACGGACGCCGGCTCCGACTCGCGCGGCTCAGACCAGCCGGCGCGGTGGGACAGGCCTAGGAAAACAGGCGGATTTATGTCACACTCGATTTTCCCATTTCACTCGGATGTTGCCGGTCTACAAAGAGGGGACAGAAAGAGATAAAGAAGAGAGAGGCAGGTGGGTTGAGAGAGAAAGGCAGCGTGTGTCACAGTTTATTCAGGGCTCGCCTCCTCCAGAAGACGGTGGAACAATGGTAATCAGTGTTCACTGCGCCAGGCGTGGCTCTACACTCTCTGTCTGGGTTAGTTCCCCTAATCTTTACGGGAACCTATCGAGGTATGTAATATCATCCTCTCCGTCTTACAAAGGGGGAAACCGAGGCACAGAGAGGTGTAACCTGGCCCAAGGGCTTGCCGTAGCAAGTTGGAAATGAAGAACCGAATAGGTCCCCAGCTCCCAGGGAGCCAGAGGAGGACCAGTTCTCTCGGGGGACACTCGAAGTCGCCCTGCAG